AATTGTAATGAAGTTCAATTTATCTTTTTTTACTTGTTAACCCCAAGTCACATAGGTTTACTCCTATATTTTCTTCTAAGAGTTTTGTAGTTTTAACCATTCTTTTTAGATCTATCATCCATTTAGAGTTAACTTCTGTGGTATGGTGTGAGGAAAGAATCCAGCTCCATTCTTTTGCATGTGGATATCCAGTTATTTCAGGACCATCTGTGGAAGACTTTCCTTATTGAATAGTCTTGGCACCTCGTTGGACTATGATCCATTCCAATGAGTTTTTGTATATGATGAGAGGTATGGATGGGAAGTCTCTTTTCTTTCCTTTCTCTTTCTTTCTCCCTCCCTCCTTTCCTCCTACTTTCCCTATTTTTCTGCTTATTGCTTGCTTTCTCTCTCTCTCTCTCTTCCTTCCTTCCATCTTTCCATCTTCCTTCCATTTCCCCCTCTCTCTTTCTTTCTCTCTCATTGATAGTCAATTGTCCTCGCATCATTACTGAAAATCTATTCTTCCTCCATGGAATTACCTCTGCATCTTTGTCAAAAATAAAATTTCAATAAACATGTAGGTCTAATTCTGGATTATCTGTTTTGTTCCTTTGGTCTCTTTGTCTATCTTTATACCACTGCACACTGTCTTGATAACAATAATGCTATAAGCCTTAAAATCAGATAATGTAAGTCCAGCAACTCTGTTCTTCTTTTCAAAGTTGATTTGATATTCTAGGGTTGTTTTTTTCCTTTCCATATGAATTTTAGGACCAGCCTATCAATTTCTTTTCTTTTTTTAATGTTTATGTATTTTGAAAGAGAGACAGAGTATGAGAGGGGGCGGGGCAGAGAGAGAGAGGAGATATGGAATCTGAAGTAGGCTCCAGGCTCTGAACTGACAGCACAGAGACCGACACAGGGCTTGAACCCACATGAGATTATGATCTAAGCCAAAGTCAGAGGCTTAACTGATGGAGCCACCCAGGGTCCCCACAGCATGTCAATTTCTATAAGAAAAGTCTATAGGATTTCGATTGGGAGTGTATTGACTCTATAGAGCAAATGGGAGATCTTAACAACATGTAATCCTCTGATTCATGAACATGGTATATCCCTACATTTATTTCAATCTTCTTTGATTTTCCTGAACATTGTTTTACAGTTTTCCACGTACATGTCTTCCTTATATTTTGTCAAAATTATTCCTAAATATTTGATATTTAGTGGTATTATTATACATGTGTTTTTAAATTTCCAGTTATTCATTGTTAATATATAGAGGTACAATTAATTTTCTTATATTTTTATCTTTTATTATGTAAACTGCTAAACTCATTTATTAGTTCTAGTTGCTTTTTGAAAAATTGACAGTATTTTTTACATGTATTTAAACATGGTAGTTTATGCCAGTAGAGACAACCTTACTTCTTCCTTTCCAATATGAATGCCTTTTATTTGTTTTCTTGCCTGGCTAAAATCACCAGTACACTGCTGAGTAGAAGTGGTGAGAGTAGATATCCTTGCTTTGTTCCTAATCTTAGGGGAGAAAGCAGTCATTCACCATTAAGTATGATGTGAGCTGCAAAGTTTTTGTAGATGCTCTTTTCCAAGCTAACAAAATTGCTCTTCTATTTCAGTTTGCTGATACCAGTATCTTAGGATGGGACTATATTTGGAGATATGACTTTAAAGGAATCATTAAGTTAAAATGAGGTCGTTAAGGTGGTCCCTAATCCAAGTGGACTAGCATCTTTGTGAGAAGAGGAAATATGGACACACAAAGAGACAAGAGGGATGCACATGTACAGAGAAAAGACCTTGAGGGTCCAGAAAGAAGATGGCTATCTGTAAGTGAAGGAGAGAGACCCTCAGAAAGAAACCAATCCTCCTAATGCCTTGATCTTGAACTTCAACTTCCAGAACTATGAGAAGATGAATTTCTGTTTATTACAAATTTAAGCCACTCAGTCCATAGTAGTTTGCCATGGTAGCTCTACCAATCTAATACAATCGGTATTACTTCTTCTTTAAGTATTTGGTCAAATTTACCAGTGGAGTCACCTGAACCTGGAGTTTATTTATGAAAATGTTTTAATCTACATATTCAATTTCTTTAATAGACATAGGGCTATTTCCAGTTGGTCATTCCATCTTGGTTATTGAATATATTGTCTTACATTCATTTTAATAAAAAAATACAAGGAAGAGAATAAAACCACCAGTTACCCTACTGTCCAAAAATAGCCATTATTCACATTTTGCTATTTACTCTTCCAGATGATTTTTACACATGGGCACACCAACTTCCTTACTTCCCCCTGCCCCCTCACCCCTATATTTTACAAAATTGCCATCACCCTTAATATCTAGGGTTTTTGTTTCTTTGTCTCATCAGATCTTTGAAGACATGCTTATGGATGGACGTTTAGTAATTTGCTTAACTCATCCCCTAACTTCTATTGTTTCTGGTTGTGGAGGGAGCCTGACAAAGAACGCCATAGTCAGCACCTTTTGCATCTGTCGCTGGGAACAATTCAGGTGTGCATCTTCGTTTACAGGCTTAGAAGTGGAATTACTGGGTCAGCCAGTTTATTATTGACTTCTCATGTTGAACACCTTGTGCCCCCGCCTCCGCACCCCCCTCTCCCCCCCGTTCTCTAGTCTCTGGAGAACAGCCCAACCAGCATAGTCAGTGGGATGTGAGATGAGAAAATGGCAAGAAGGCAGTAAAAAGGCAGTTCCAGACGTCCTCAGGGGTCCCGCCCCTGGCTGTGGCCTCTTGGCCTAGATCGGCAGGTTGGAGGCTGGATCTCCAGTGTGTGGACTATACCTTACTTTTGGGTTCTTCCTCTTTTGGAGTGAGTGATATCATTAAGGGGTGTTTGCACTTGCACAAATCAAAGTGAAAACTGAAGCCAAGCTTTGTGCAGACGTGTGAAGACAGAGGCCAGCCTCATTCTCCTTTCTCTCTTCTTCCTCAGGGAGCTCCCTGTCTGCTGGGATGGATACAGCCTCCATTCCACAGGGAACTCCTGGCTTTGGGGTAAAATTACAGTGGTTTTGTTTTTTGTTTTTTTTTCTTCTCTGCGATTCCCAGTCTGAGTGAAGTGTCAAGACCCACAAACCAAAACATGTGCAGGTACCTCCAAGGGAAGTGATAAGCAAGCGCCAGTTCCCACCTCCTGTGCAGGGGTGTGGTGGGGTTGCTGTAGGGTAACTTCCTGGGAAAGAGGAGGCCCGGGATCCATAGGGAGGACTTGCAACAGGAAAGGTGGAGGCTGGGAGAAGGTGGAATGATGGTCGCTTGGTTTGGTAAGAGCCGGAAGAGGAAGTTGGATGGCTAAGGGTAGGAAGGGAAGCCTCAGGGGATTACTTCTGTCCCTTGTCAGCAATCTGGGGACACTGGGCAGATGTGAAGGCAGGGGGTTGTTTGGGGTTAATTTCCAAGAGTACTCTTCTCTCCCCTTCCCTGGTCTGCTCCGTAGCAGTCGGACTTTAACTGGGCACTTGCCACAGGCTCCAGGTGACTCGACAGCATCATCTGTTAGCATGATCCTTGCTCGATGAGGCCTGGTCATAGCCATTCTACAGCTGAGAACTCAGAGGCCAGGCCAAGGCTCTCTCCTGCCGGGCTCTCAGAGCCAAGAGGCAGGAGGTGCTGCGGTGGGAGCCCCTATCGGTACAAATGCCCAGACCTCCAGGGACTCCGGGGCTCCAGCCCCACTCTGCTCTCCTGTCCACCCCCCTCCAAGACCACCTCCACAAGAGGCACCTGACAGCGACTTGCAGGCCACCAGACTTTCAACCAGATACACGTATGCACCCCAAGGTTATGTCTAGAAATGTCTGCAGACATTTCTTGTTGTTACAACTTGGCGAGGCTAAGGAGAGGAGTGTGGGGAGGGGGCCCCTACTGGGTCTAGTGATGGAGGTCAGGGATGCTGCTCAAAACCCTGGATGGCTACGATGACCCCCACCGCAGAGAGGTGCCAGGCCGCGGGCCACCGTGGCGCTGTGGCAGAGGCCCTGCTCCCGGAGCAGATGAGCTCACCCTTTCAGATGTGAGCTGGGAGCCTCCTCCAGTCTCAGCCAGGTGTGGACACCAAGGTGCTTGCAGATGTGAGTAGAGAGTTCTCTGCAGATGCTGGACTAAGGCCCTTCCAGCTCTGGATGGATGCCCTGGGCTCCGTCTCTTTGACCAAACCCTGCTGGGGCTTCCCTTGAGCTCTTTTTCAAAGAGGTGTGGGCTTTTGGACTCCTGGGTGCATCTCTGTGCTGTCCTGCCTTCTCTGCACAAACCACACGGAGCCGGCTCAGCCAGGAGCCCTCATCTTACCGTATCTGATCGCCCCTGACATCTGATGGGGTTCCTCTTCCTCCGCTACCCCCGGTGATGTCTGGCCCGCCTTCTGCCAGAGTCCTGCTAGGTGGCTTTAGCTGAATCCTCTTACCACCCCACCTCCCGTAGTAATTTTCCATCTGCAGACCCCCATCCTGCTGCTTGGCTACAAACTCCCCTTTTCTTTGTTGTATTTGGAGTTGAGCACAGCCTCTTCCCCCCCCCCCCCCAAGCAAAACTCCCCTGTAGCGGTCCCACACCTCTTCAATGGCCCCTGGAGTCAAGCCCACAGCACTGCTCAGTTACAAATGTGACTAAATAATGTTTTGTTTCACACCCTTTTGGGTGGGAACCGAGAGAGATCTTTGGCTGAATTTCCTTTCAGATGCATGGGGAGGGGCCAGCTCCTGGTCAGGTGTGCAAACTCTCACCTGCAGGTGTGCTCGGGGGCGGGGATTGGGCCGGGCAGCTGTGGGCAGGGCGGCTGTGGGAGGGAGGAGGTGGAGCCTCCTTTTTCTAGGGCATGTGTCGGCTGCCTCCCACCCAGGGGCATTGCCCCAGCACTACCTTGCCAGAGGGCGTGTGGCAGTGTGACACTGGGGGCTGCTCCCCGGAGTCTTCAAAGCGATTGCAGACCTTACGAGCCATATGTCGCTGGATCCCCAGAACACCGACCATGGCAGATGGGGCACAGGCCAACCCCAGAGTGTTGAGGAAGAAGGAGCTGGTTAGACACCCCTCCAGGTGGAGGGGCCCAAGTCTCCGGGCATCTTTCCCTTGGAAAACCTCGAGGTATGTGCCTGTTACCCCAGGATGGAATCCTCCACAGAGAGGAGCAGGGGTGGGGTTGGGGAATTGGCTCCTAGAATCTATGTCTCCAAAGGGAGAGCTCTAAGTCTCCATGAGATACATCAGTGTGTTTTCAGCACCAGAAGGGCCTGAGGGATCATCCAGTCAATCCTCATGAGGCACTTGAGGCCCAGAGAGGCTAAGGGATCTACCTGAGGTCACACAGCATTTTGGAAGAAGAGCCGGGACTAGAACTTAGGGACCCAGGTCTCTTGGCTCCCAGTGCCAGACCCAGCCGCCAGGTTGGGTCATGTGACTTCCTGGAGCGCCTATGGAGAGGGGCTTGGTTCTGATCGGTGATAGTGGCCCATGAGGCCGTGAGCTTCCTGTCTCAGAAGCCTGCTCAGGGTAAGAAGGAAGGAGGCTCCTGGTGCCTCCAGGCTCTGCCATCCTGGGGACTGTTTTTTCAGGAGGCGCAGGGCAGGCAAGAGGAGCTCATCACAGAGCTGGGGCATCGGAAGCAGGGACCCCAGAGGGTGGCATTGTCAGGCCTCAGAAGGGAGCTGCAGGCCTGGGAGTGGAAGGGACGGACTCAGGGCTTGGATTCTCTTTTCTCTCAGATCCAGCCTGGGTATGAAGAATTTCTTCACCGTGGTCTTCCTGGCCAGCAGCGGTGAGTAAAGGCTCTGGGGAGACTCTTCTCTCTCCCCCTCCCCTACTTTTTCTGCAACCTTGGGCACCTGGGTTCTCTATCCCCTGGCTGGTGGCAAGGCCGTGGGCCCGCCCTGCCTCCCTCTGGGCCTCAACTTCCCAGCTCAGCCCCTGTCAGGCCCTCATCAATGTGGGTCTGTTTGCGCCTCCGGCCGACTATGAACACATCAGGTGCCGTCGGCATTTACGAGCCTCCAAGGCAGCAGGGCCCGGAACTGAGCAGGCATCGTAAAACGGTAGTGTTTGCTGGGCGTCTGGCCGCCCCCGGGGAACCCTGGGTGTTTGTGTAGATAGGAGTGTGTGTTTGTGTACATGTGTGCCGTAGACCAGAGCTAATGGGTTTCTGTGTGGATATACGCATGTATCTGTGTGTGTGGGGGGGGGGTCTCAGCCCAGTGACTTCTGTGTGTACCCCACAGGTCACTAAAACGTGTGTGTTAATTGCGGGTGCACAAACCTGTGTGTGTGTGTGTGTGTGTGTGTGTAGCAGGGCTGTCTGTGTGAGGCAAAGAGGGTCTGGGGGCTCCTTTCCCAGGGCTGGCACCCCTGGGCACACGATCGGGGGCAGCTGAGGCTCCTGACACAGATGTGATGCTGTTGCACATCCAGGTGTTGTGGTGACAGGTGCCTCAGGGAGGTGGAAGGTGAGCTAAACGTGTCACTGACTTCTCACCTGGCCTGTGGCAAACCGCCTGGGCACAGCCCGCTCCGGGGAAAAGAAAGAACTACCGGAAAAAAAATAAGGGTAAACGTGGCCAAGCGTGAGAGATGGCTGGTTGAACTTGACTGCTGAAGTGTTGAGAAAGCAAGCGTCTGAGTTCAGCCTAGATTGCCGGCTGGTAGAGCTTCAGCCTGACTCACTCTTCTCTGCTTGGAGCGTGAGTGTGCACGTGGCCTTGGCTTCCTGGGTTCACCGTGGGCACTGCATGTGAGTGCGTGTGTGTGTGGGTGTGGGTCTGCCGGTGGGTGTGAGATGTGCAAGTGTGTGAGATGTCTGTGGGCGAGTGTGTGTGTGACTGTGTATGTGACAGCGTGCCTCTGTGTCTGAGTTTATCATGAGTGTGTGTTTGTGAGCCTGTGCGAACATATGCGGTGGATAGAGGCAAGTGTGAGTGTGCACCTTGCACGAGTGTGCAGTGGGTGAAGTGGGTGAATGTGTGTGAAGTGTGTTTCTATGTACAGTAGACACGGGCATGTGAGGTGTGTGTGCGTCTGTGCATGAGTGTGAGGGTGTGTGTTCCTGTGTGTGAGGTGTGGAGGACTCGCGTGATAACGTCCCACCTTGTCTGTGGCTGCTGGTCAGAGGGCCCTGGGGATGGGAACTGCCCCCCAGGGGGTTAGCAGCTGCTCAGCCAGAGGGTGGCCAGTGGGCGGCCTGGGCTTCCGGCCAGGGAGCGAGGAGGCCAGACCTCGCACAGGTTGCTCCGTGCTCACAGCCTCTGCTCCCGGTGCGCAGCAGGAGAGGGGCGTGGTCCTTGGGTTTGACAGTTGAGGTCCAAGAGCTTATGCAACCTGCCCATGTGGTCACTGCAGGCCCAGGGAGACACCTGTTCATGAACCCAGGGCTGTCTGGGTCTGACTCCCAAGGTCTGATTCCAGATCTGACTCCCACGCTGCGTGGCCCTCACGTCTTCCTCCAGCCGCAGGACCCCAGCACAGCGGGAGGAAGGGCTGGGAGACAGACCTAATGTCTCCTTTCCCCTACTCTCACCGACAGCCCGCGCATCCCTTGTGCAGCTCAGGGATGGGCTCGGGCCCACCGGACACAGGGTCCTCCCTCTCCCTGCTCCAGACCCCGCCTGAGACGTGTACCTCTCTCCCCACCATCCCCTTAAAGCCACCTGTCATTTATCCCAGCTCCTTCCCTGTCTCCTCTCTCGTTTACCCCTTGTTTGCTGCAATGATGAAAGTCACAAACTGAGTAAACACGAAGACTCGGGTGCAGCGGGATTCCCAAGGCCCACTAAGTGGGGCTAGAGCAGCTCTCCTGTGTGCGGGGTGGCCTCACGCAGGATGGACTGAAGCACCAGGCTCGGGGGCGGCTCAGCAGTGAGCCAGGAGCAGATGCCAAGTCAGCACAGGCCCCAGGGGCTGAAGAGGCAGGGAGCAGGGGAGAGGAGGGTAGTCGCTGGGGCGGGCCCACCTGGCAGGTGCTGGGAAGCTGCTGATTTTGCTGGTGTGGGCAGGGGGTCATTGTGCTACTGCTTCCTGTGAGACACAGACCAAGAGAAAGGGTGTGTGTGTGTGTGTATCTGTCTGTCTGTCTGTCTGTCTTCACTGAATGACCAGACCACCAAATTGTCTCTGGATTCATCGTGAGATGCACAAGCCCTCGGACTGTACTAGGGACACAGGGTTCCTGCTGGGGGCCGAGGACCCAGAATCAGACTCGTGTTCAGAAGAGCACGTGGCATTTGTGAAGCCCCTTGCAGTGGACTGGTCACTCGGGACCTCACTGCCCGGGTACAAATTCTACGCCTACCACCTTTTTGATTACGTTCTTGGGCAAGTTACTTGGGTAAGCTCTGGGCCTCAGTCTTCTCATCTGTAAAGTGGGGATAACAACAGCACTCTGTGACTTAATGCCTGGAAGGGGTTCAGGACAATGCTTGGCACAGAGAAGCCCTTAGCAAAGAGTAATAGTTATTTCCTTCTAAGGGCCCTGGTGCATCATAGCTTTTTATACATTGCTTCCTTCCTCCCTCTCTGCCCACCCTTCCTCTGCTGCTCCCTCCCTCCCCCTTTCCCTGGCCCTGGGGTGTGGGGAGGACAGTCAGACAGGAGGGCCCCCCCTCCACCAGGCAGGGAGCTCACAGCACCCCTTGGTTCTCTTGCAGTCCTGCCTGCGGCCCGCAGCAGCCTGCTTAACCTGAAGTCCATGGTGGAAACCATCACGGGGAGGAGCGCCATCTTGTCCTTCGTGGGCTACGGCTGCTACTGTGGGCTGGGAGGGCACGGGCTGCCCATGGATGAGGTGGATTGGTAGGTCCCGGTGTGCCTGGGCCTCTGTCAGGCCGGGGGGGCGGGCTGTGAGGGTCAGACTGGTCTCCGTTTCTGAGACATGCAAGAGGGTCCTTTCCCCAAAAGATGACGCTTGTTCAATGAGTTAGGGACCAAGAGCCTGACCTTGACCCATGCCCTCCTCAACTGTCTTGGGTACTTTCTACTGTGCATCTTCAAGTCTTGGGCTTGGAGGCATTGGAACTCCCACTCTTGCCAGGAAGGAAACTCTGACCTGCCCCACACACCTGAGAGCAACAGACACATAGCTCAAGTTCAACACAAGCAAGGGCTGTGACCCCTCTCACCCCCAATACCCTAGAGGCCCTGCTGGAGGGTTGTGCTTCCTCCATCAGACTGAAGACTGCAGCCACGGCCTAACTTTCGGCTCTTATCTCCCCAAAAGCAGCCAGCACCAATCTGGTATCATGGGGCGCTTAATAAATGCATGTTGACTAATTGCCTTCCTCCATCAGAGGGGATGGGGATGGCCACACTACGTTTGCTTCCTGTCCTCCACCCCCAACCCCCACTTAGCCCTCCAGACTTTTGTCAATCCCTGGCCATCATGCTTAGCCAGGCATGACCTCCTCATATGGTCGGGCTCCTTTGACACTGACTTAGTCTTAACCCTCCTTCCCATCCTGACCACGTCATCGGACAGCCTGATGCCCCCTCCCCCACATCTCCTGCAGCTGAAGCCAGGGCTCCAAGGTGGAGAGCTGGGCTCTGCCTGGCTATGTGACTTCAGGCAAGTAATTGCCCCTCTCTGGGCCTCAGTCTGAAGGTCTGATCCATGAGGAACTGGATGGGGTCTCTGGGGCTTGCTGACCTCTGTCCGCCCCTAGGTGCTGCCATGCCCATGACTGCTGCTACCAGAAGCTCTTCGACCTGGGCTGCCGCACCTATGTGGACCACTATGAATACACCATCGAGAACAATACTTCCATCATCTGCAGTGAGTTCCTCTCCTGCCATTCCTCCCTCCCCCACCCAGGAGAAGGGCTCAGACGACCCGTCCCCTCCAGCCTGTGCTGGGGCTGTGCACAGGGTTGCCAGGTGAAATACAAGATGCCCACATACATCTGAATTTCAGATAAACAAAACATGTTTCCACATAAGTATATCCTAAAAATTGCATGGGACATACTCGTACTAAAAATTAAATGTTAGCATAAAAACAATTACTATTAGCATAAAACTAAGAATTAGCATAAGTATATCCCATGTAGCATTTGGGACATACTTATACTAAAATATTTACTGTTTGTCTGAGATTCAAATTAGCTAGGCCTCTTGTTTTTATTTGTTAACTCTGAGAACCCTAGCATGGCCCTAACACGTCTTTCTGTTGTGCTCTGATCCCCCAAGCCCGAATCAGCAGCCTGCTTCCCTAGTCCTTGATTCTTAAGCTTCCAAGAGCTTGGAAGTGAAACCGATTCAGTGGGTCTGGGTGAGGGCCCTGGAATCTGCTTTTAACCAGGTCATCAGGCGATGGTGAGACCTGGTGACATGCTGGCCTGGGTTTAAGCCTGGATTCTTCCAGTATCTCCTGCTGTGTAACCCTATACGGGGTTCTTCCCTACCTGGCCTCAGTCTCCCCGTGGGTATATGGAAGGGTTTGGATCAGAGAAAACTTGTTCCTTTCCAGTTCTGTGCTTGGGACCCCACCAGGAGGTGGCCTCAGTCCACGACCTTCAGTGTTTCCAGGATTCATGTTACAGGGACCAGGACCGGCTGGGCTACCATGGATGCTCCAGGCTGTTCCTCAGCTGAGGGGTGTGGCAGCCACGTTAATAGCCCAGGTGTCCCTGTGTGCCTCCCCTTAGGCAACAGGTGTCCCCTGGCCCAGTCTCATGGGCAGCCCCTGGCTCCTTTTGTCTGCTTGTCTTCACCAGGTTCTACTCACCACCCCTCACTGAAAGCCCACAAGTAAGCCCAGGTCTGCAAAAAAAAAAAAAAGAAAGAAAGAAAGAAAGAAAGGCGACCTGGGCACATCTGGGGCCCCTTGGCAGCCCAGGCCACTGTGGTCCTCACATTCTGCTGTTCAAACGCAGGGTGGAGGGCCTGGCTTGGGAGAGGAGGGCGTCCCCTCATTAACGCATTTCAAGGATCCCCAAAGGGCAGTGGACGAACCAAGCAGCGGTTTTCACCTTGGGTTTTGGGGGCTCCTGGTGTCGGCTGATGGGGGTGGGGGTCCCGTAGTGGTCCAGCTGGTCCCATTAACCCATTTCATAGCTACATGGTGTCTCTTTTGGCCATTTGATGTGTTGGCCTTCTGCAAAGAGCTTCATTTGAGAGAAAGAATTCTGCTGATAGAAACCTGCGGACCACTGAGCTAGTGAGCTGTTCTCAGAGGGTGTCCCCAATCTGCAGTATCGGCATCACCTGGGAACTCGCTAGCAATGCAGATGATCAGGCCCCACCCAGACCTACTGAATCTGAAGCTGTGGGGCTGAGGCCCAGCCATCTTTGTCTCAACTAGCCCCCCCGCCAAACCCGGGTGATCCTCATGTACCCCTAAAGTTGACAGCTCTTAGGATAGATGATTTCAGGAGGCTTAAGCACTTGCTCATGGGAGGCCCTGAGCTAAGATCTTTAGGAGCCCCTCCTCTGTGGCTCCTCACCATGAGCTCCCTCCACCATGGGTCGTCCTGCGATCCTGTGATGGAAGACAGGGGGTCTGGGGTGAGGAGTCACTGACACCTGAGTGTCTATCCCAGCTCTGCCTTGGGTTTGCTGGGTGACTTAGGTAAACCCGTCCCCTGGGCCTCAGTTTCCCCGACTATAAAATGACAGGTTGGACTCTTGGGGTCCCCTGATGGAAGTATGCTGCAGAGCCACCCGGACGGCGGTTCCTGCAGACCGTGGGGCCCAGCCCAGAGCTCTGGAGCCCGCAGGCCTGGGCTGAACCGCCAGGGACGCTGGTGCTGCCCGCCAGGGGACCACACTCCGAGGCCCACCAGAACCTCTCCCTGACACAGGTGAGCTCAACGAGACAGAGTGCGACAAGAAGACCTGTGAGTGTGACAAGGACGTGGTTCTGTGCCTCCGGGACCAGACGTACAATGAGAAGCATCGCAACTACCTCAACATCTACTGCCAGGGCCCCACGCCCAACTGCAGCATCTATGAGCCGCCCCTGGAGGAGGCGGCCCACAGCCACACCGCCCCCTCTCCCCCTGCGCCTCCCTAGTGCCCTCTGGGGCTGACGGAGAAAAGGGATGGAGGTTCTGGCTCGGGGGCCAGGCAGACAGAGCAGGTGGAGGTGGGGGAAGACTGAGAGCCCGGAGGCTTTCTGGACGCTTCCTCCCTAGAACCTTCCAATGAGACCGGCCCCAGAGGACTCAGGGAGGCCAGGCCCTGACTGTGGCCCCCAGGCTCCTCTGGCCCAGTCCTGGGCGCGGCTGTGTCCTACCGCTGACCCCAGACTTGGCAGAGAACTTGTAGCTTGTTGAGGTCTCTCTTGAGTTTGGAGGGCAAGGCCTGAGTTCCCCAGGGCAGGTGCTCCCCAGGGAAGGTGCTCCCCAGGGATGGTGCTCCCCAGAGTTGGTGGTTCCTGGGCCTGACCGTCAAGGTTAGAAACCAAAATCCTGAGCTGCCCCACAGCCCCGGAGCTTGGTGTGCCCTCAGACAGGCTCCCAGACAGACAGAGTGCTGATCCCAAGGCCTGAGTTCTGAGGGCCTCTGGGCCGCTCCTAGGAGACGACCCAGGGCGCTCCTTGCTTTGAGGGCCTAGTGGCTCTTTAGGCCCCACTAAGGGCAGGTGGCCCGTGAGTCCAGGCCTAGACATCACGGGAGGCCACAGGGCCTAGTGTCCCAGCCCTGAAGTCTGGCCTCAGAGCAGCCTCCGGCGCACCGACAGAACCCTGTGCCCAGTGGCACGCCTTTGGGGGTGCATGGGGACCAAGACAGGGCCACAAATATGTCCCCAGCACCCTCAGATCTCCCCCACCTCCCTGCTGACCCGGCCCCACCGTACGGCATTGCTCTGAGGTACACCGGACCCCACCCCTGTGCTTCTCCTCCTACAGCAGCCCGGCTGGTGGGTGGAAGGACCCCAGACCCTTCTCTCTCTGCCAGGGAGACGCGAGGCTGCACCCTGGTGTCAGAAGGCCTGTCAGTGGGGAGGAGGCCGAGGGCTGGGACCCCGCTCCGTGAAGGGAAACAAAGGCAGGAGGGTCCAGGTCCAGGCAGGAGGCTGTGGGGAAGATTCCGGAAGGCAGTGGGGAGGGAGCTGCATGAAGACAGAAGGGAGGGGAGAAGGTGGGAGAGAGGTGGGACAAGGTGAGACATCCAGACCAGAGTGGTCTTGGCAGAAGTGGGGTGAAGGAGCCTTTGGGTGCAGGGCCCCCTAGGGCCCAGGTTTCTGGTGAGGCCCATGGGGTTGTGGGCAGTGATGGAGGAGAGTCAACCTCAGTGGGGCCAGCTCTCCTGACTCTGCCCCAGCACTGCTGTTTCTCCAGGTGCACCTGCCCCTGTCCTACCTTGCCTCACCTCTCCGCCTCAAGGTCAGTGGCCTCCAAGTAGCCAGAAAGCCCTGCCTCACCCCAAGGATGCACTGACACAGCGCCGAGACCCACCCGGACACCATAGGCCATTAGGAAGCTTGGCCTGCCCTGTGAGTGGCCTGTAGACCACTGTCACTGGGGACAATCGTGAATGATGGAAGCAGGAGAAGAGTGCGGGTGGGGAGAGAATCAGCTTCTAGAACACTGGCCTTGGGGACTGAGGATGAATCTCGTGGTTGGAGTCAGCTGTCACTATGTGTGAGAGGGGGCCCTTCTACCGCTCATCTCCTGCTGGCCCTGGTGTGGTGGCTGTGGTCCCCAATGGGTCTCATCACTGATATCTTCTTCTTTTTTTTTTTTTAATGTTTTATTTATTTGTGAGAGAGAGAGAGAGAGAGAGACAAACAGACAGAATGTGAGTAGGGGAGGGGCAGAGAGAGAAGGGGACACAGAATCTGAAGCAGGCTCCAGGCTCCTGATGGGAGACTTTAACTCATGAACTGCAAGACCATGACCTGAACGGCTGGATGCTTAACCGACTGAGCCACCCAGGCGCCCCCTGATATCTTCTACGCCAGCTAACTAACTAACTAATTAACCTCTCCTGACCATCTTGGGCCTCTTATCTCTGAGCTGAAGCCCCTCTAAGCCAGCATGGAGGCAGAATGGGGCAGCCACAGTCCCCTGGAAGCTGGGGTCTGCAGAGACCCTGGCCCTCACCTGTGGGAGCCCAGGTTGTGGCCCTCCACCTTGCACACACGTCCACTCGCGAGAGTCTAGGCTAGTGTTTTAGGATGAGATTCTGCTCCCAAAAAGCCTCGCCTTCCCCTCCCCACCTCACCTTCCCCCAGCCTGTCCAAGATGCTGCACCCCAGAGACCCTCCACAGGACCTGGCACCCCATCTTCAATCTCATAAAGGCCTCCTGCCTCAGCTTGGTCCTCCTTGGCTGGGCATCAGGGGAGGGCACAGCGACTCCCTCGAGGGCCTCCAGCTCTGGGAAAGCCAGGCTCCCTTCCCGGGCCCCGGCCTGGGCAAGGTGGCCCTGCTCCAGCAGAGAGACAAGTGTCAGGAAGGCTGGACAGCGACATGGACCAGCGGTTGGGCAATGATAACTGTTAGGCTGGGTGCTTGTCAGGCATCAATCTCCACCCCATCCTTTTCTGTTGAACATCATAGGCCCAGAGTGGAAAAGGAAATTTCCTAGAGTCACAGAGGTTGTAAGTGATGGGGCTGCGACTGAATCCTCAACATCTGACTTTGGATTATCCCTCTTTGTGCCTTAATAATGATGCGGGGGCAGCTGGAGACAGTGGGACCAGCAACTGAGAATCCAGCAGGTCACCAGTCCTGGTCCCGACCCTGGCTCCTTCTCTGACTGAAGTCCTTTCCCTGTTGTGGGAATCAGTTTCCCCATGTGCAGAGGGACCAGAACAGCTGGTTTCAGGTGCCCCCCAAAGCCACGTGCTTTCCTGGGTACATCTGGGATGATCTCTGGGGCTCTGCTCCCCACCCCCATCTTCCTCTTCAGTTGAGCAGCTCTGCTTTTCCTGTATTCTTTACTGAGCTTTCACCTGAACTACTGTAAGAAGAAAAGACATTCTTCAGTAATTTTTTTTAAAAGCTTGAGAACTCTAGGTCAAGATCATCCATTGGTTCATTCATTCAGGGGACCTATACTGATGATCCTCTATGGACCAGGCACAGTGCAGGGGTTCGATGGGGATACGTCCAATCAGACACAGACTGTACCTGCAGGAATCCCTTAGGCTGGTAGGGGAGTCAGGCATGTGATAACCTCGACATATGTTGCCAAGCAGTGTCATGGGGAGCACGGAGGATGAAGCCCCAAGTGTGTCCATCATAGTCCCGGAAGGGGCCCCCAAGGAGATAAGGTGTGGAGCAGGGATGGCAGGTTTGAGGTCCTTGGAGAGGAGGGGCGGGTCACATATTTTGAGGACAGAGCCCTTGCTTCTATAGTCCGGGGGACCCTCTGCTTCTTCAGGACCCCTTCCAAGTTAGTGAGTTATTTTATGCTGAGGCTTGAGGAAGGGATTGTACTGGTCTGGAGCTGTCATTGACAAAGACTGTCCTTGGCCAAACTTCAGCTAGGCTCCCGAGACCTTTCTCAACCGGGCTTAGATCTTAGGGTTCCATATCCATCTTAGCACTGCCCAATTTTAGCAAGAATCCCCTACTGCCCTCAATATCTGATCAAATTCCTCGCCCTCCACCACTTCTCAGGCACCTGATCACCCGGGCCTGCCTTTAGCAAGAAACCTGTTAGGGTCAGTTTAGCAAGAATCATCCAGCCCTCTTAGCAATCTTCCATCCACCAGCCCCTCTCCCTGCTCCTTGGCTATAAACCTCCACCTAAAAAAAGTGAGGATTCGTAATTGTTGTAACCTGAATTGAGTCCGGTTCTATACTGACCCCTGCTGCGATCATTCCGGAATAAAATCTGTTTTTACCACTTAAACTACTGTCTGCTCCGGTTTTCTAATAGCCGCGGTACCATGACTCGCATGAGATCAGATTCATTGTTGGGCCCCAGTCATTTCACCTAGGGACCCCCGGTGGACATCTGGAAGCCTTTGTCTTCAGTCCTGAGTGACTGAGGAAGGGAGCCCGACTCCTGAGTCAGCGCTCCGGGTAAATGTCTGCTGAAGTACAGCTAAGACAAGGTTTTGGTTCTTAAGGTTCTAAGTATATTCTGTAAAGCTGGATGAGAGGTACAGGCTACTTTGTCTGACAGACACCTACTGGGCTCAAAGTCTTTCTTCTTGGCTCTTTCTTTTGAGTGGGGATCCCCTCCCTGACTCCCGAGACTGGAATATTTTTCCCGACTCTTTGGGAAGCCTCTCTCTTCTGTTTGATACTGCTTCTTCCAAGGAAACTTCTCAGTTGACTGAAGCCCCTATTTCCAAACCTGCTGAATTTGGAACTTCACTGCTCCCTCTAAGACCTCCCCACTCCCATCTCCCTTCCCACCATCTTGGATCTTCCCTTCAGGTAGGTCCCTTGAATCTGCTGATAGGACCCCTTTAAACTTTTGCTTCCTCCCTCCCTCTGTCTCATTTTACCAGACTTTTCCCCCTGTCCATTCTAGCCCTTTGGGCATTTGAATATTCAGCTTCCTTCCCCCATCAGGGGTTCTCAAGAGACTCAGGGACCTCTAGAAGCAAGTACTTGAAACTAAGAAGAAAATGCTCTTTGGAAACAGATGGGATATTTTAACCACTTATGGGCTTTGGAGACATCCAGGTGGCTGCTTGATGTCTCCTCAATTTCTCCCCTTAAATGTATTCCACGGCCTGCTGAAATTTTCACATCAGGGCAACTGAAAAGCTTAAAAGTCTCCACAAACGTTGGTAAAAAGCTTTAGCTCTCACTGAATCAACAACCCTAACTTGTTACATCTGCCAGAAACACAATTCACATAAAAAATATAAAATGGAATAAAGATGAGGTCTATTTTATATCAATCAGGGAGCTTGTGTCACTATGTTTTACTGACTCATGGTTAAAATTTTAGAATGAAACTCGTAAGATCTGTTTATTGTCAGTTTCTGTGTATGATGTGATAGTTTTCTACTCAAGATGGCATTACCAAATTCATTGATGAAATCCCTTAATGGAGTTCTATTCAAAATGACGGAGCTATAAATCAGCACTTCTATAAATTA